GCGTCTCGGGACGTTCTTGGGGGTCTCTCGGGGCGTCCTCGAGGCCCCCCGAGCATTCTGCCAGCCATCTGGAGCACTTTTGGGTCAGTGCTACCGGACTCGGAAGCCCGGGGGCCGCCGGAGGGGCGTCCTGGTGGCTGTCGTAGGGCTCTCTGGAAGCGTCTTGGGCGCCACTTGGGCCGTCTTGGGACCGTCTTGGGGGCCTCCTGGGCCGTCGTAGAGCTGCCTGGGAGATCATTGGGGCGGCCTGGAAGACGTCGTGGGCCGTCTTGGAGCGTCGGGAGCTCGACAAGGGGAAACTGCCGAAAACACGCAAACACCAAATGAAAATCATTGTTTTTTGGTTGTCGGGGCTGTCTCTGGGGTCCTCTTCGGGCGCACGTCGTGCATCCGGCGCGATCTTGGGACACTCTTGGGCGGACTCCGAGGCCCGGGACCCGCTGGAGAGGCCGACTCGGAGGCCCGGGGGCAGCCGGAGGGGCGTCCCGGGAGGGGGCCACGCCCTATATACAAGGGAGGTTCCAGCCAGGGGCCCGGGGCCCGGGATCTCCCATATATATGTACATATATATATATACGTATATATATATATATATATATATATATATAGATTGCACTTTACCCCTGTACAGAGACAGGCCCGACTTAAAACACAGGAGCCGATATTCCTGTTGCGTCTGGCAGGTGTGGCCTGACGGTCTCCCTGCACCCAGACATCCGGCCGCTCCAGCGCTGTCGATCTGCGGGCCCCAGGAGGTCTGGACCCCCTCCGCCGAGACCGGCGTTTCGCCCCGAGCCGTTCTGTCGACGGCCCCGAGGCCTGGCGAGGGCCCCCTTGAGGTCGAGGATGACCAAAAGCCCGCCGCTCCAGCTTGTTTAAGCGCCAAATCTCTGGGCATGTCTCTGGGAGGCCTTCGGCGCTGCTCACATCATATCTTATCGTCAATATGACTTAGTTTTGATAATGCGTTTCTGAACGTAATTGGAGGCGAAGGAAAGCGCATCTACGTTTCAAGCGATGGAATTATCAGTCTAAAGCCGGCGAAGAGAAAAAAAAACATGTAACAAGAACACCATAGACTCCCGTGTCTGACACTGTAGCCTGGCAGTCGCTCTGCACGTCTCCGGGATCGGCGGCGGGCGCGGGGGGGAAAGCGAGAGAGAGAAGGCATTCCCAGAAGGCGGCGGGGCTTCTCGGAAGCCCCCACGCCTTCTGAGAGGTTTTCTTTGGACGCCCGAAATGGGTACGGAAAGAACGGGCACAATGCCCAACAGCAAATGCTGCCCCAAACCAACAGCGGCCGCTGTTGGGCAGGCGGCCTTCTGTCTCAGATGGACACAGGCCGCGGCGGCGCGGACAGCGAGCCCTGTTCAGAACGAACAGGAACTGCTGTTGGGCATCGTGCCCATTGTTCCCGTGCCCATCTCATTCGTGCAGATTTTCTTGCGTCTTCGGGGAAGGCATTGGACACTTCTCGGAAGGCCGGGGGACTCCCGAGCCCTCGGAGAAGGCCTGCTCCTTCTCACGTCCCCCCCCCCCTCGCTCGCCGCCGACGGACAGCCCCGCCTGGCTGCTGATATGTAGAGGGCAGAACATCCACGCCCACAAGAACCACCCCGACACGCGAGGCCGTTTCGTAAACGCCCCCACTGAAGGAATCGAAAAGGGCGACGCTGCTTAGTAAACGCCCAGGGCCGTTTCGTAAACGCCATGCGTTCGGTCTGGGTGGTTGTTCCTCCCGTGGGATTCGTGAAAGGCTTCATGACTTCTGCCGTCGACCTACTCGCGCGATTGGAAGGCCTGGAAACGGGCACCAACACCAGCACAGGGGGCTGTCTCCACAGGGGGGAGAGGATCCTAGATTCCAGCGTCGGGGGCAATGTTTCGGTCATCTCGGCAGCCAGAATATTGCCACCATCGCCGAGATCGGAATCTCCCTCCCTCGGTGGAGGCACACAGCCGACCGATCTTGGTGTTGGTGTCAACCTCGATGGCGCCTCCACGGGAGCGGGCCCCGAGGGCCGCGGGCGGGGCCTCCCCGTGGGGCCAGCCTGTGGCTCTAGCTAGCTCGGGCATGTCCCCCTACAGGGGGATGTTGGGCGAATCATGGAATCGGAGGTGAGGGGGTGAGATCGAAGTGGAACGGAGAGCCCCCCTACCGGGAAATCGATTTCGGTTTCGTGTTCGTGCGTGCCGTGCGCGCGGGCGAGGCGAAGCTGCGTGGGCGGGCGAGAGGAAAGTCTCCTGTGGCTGAGGCGCGGCCGGACCAAATGTGTCTCTTCCGGGCGGCCGGTGGCGCGCGGTGTCCCGCCGGTGTCCCGCCGGTGTCCCGCGGTGTCCCGCGGTGTCCCGCGGTGCCCCGCGGTGTCCCGCCGGTGTCCCGCGGTGTCCCGCGATGATGATGATGATGCTGCTGTTGTTGATGATGATGATGACGATGATGATGATGATGATGGTGATGGTGATGCTGATGATGATGATGATGATGATGATGATGAGGACGATGATGATGATGATGCTGATGATGGTATGATGATGATGACGATGATGATGATGATGATGATATGATGATGATGGTGTCCCGATGCTGATGATGCTGATGATGATGATGTCGATGATGATGACGATGATGATGATGATGATGCTGACGGTGTCCCGATGATGAGGATGATGATGATCATGATGATTATGCTGATAATCATGATGATGACGATGGTGTCCCGATGATGGTGAGTATGATGATGTTGATGTTGATGATGCTGATTATGATTGTGTCCCGATGATGATGATGTTGATGATGATGAGGTTGATGATGATTATGGCGTCCCGATGATGATGATTATTATGATGGTGATGATGATGATGAGGATGTTGATGGTGATGGCGTCCCGATGGTGATGATGATGATGATGTTGATGCTGATGTTGGTAATGATGATGATGGTGCCCCGATGATGACGATGATGATGCTGATGTTGATGTTGTTGTTGATGATGATGATGATGATAATGTCGATGGTGATAATGAGATGATGATGATGATGATGGTGTCCCGATGATGATGGTGATGATGATGATGATGATAACGATGGTGATCATGATGGTGTCCCGATGATGATGCTGCTGCTGATGATGATGATGACGATGACTGTGTCCCGATGCTGCTGATGATGATGATGTTGATGATGATGATTGTGATGATGGTGATGATGATGATGATGATGATGATGATGATGATGGTGGTGTCCCGATGATGTTGATGACCGTGATGATGATGATGTTGGTGGTGATGATGAGGACGGTGTCCCGATTATGATGATGTTGGTGATGATGATGTTGATGTTGATGTTGTTGTTGATGTTGATGACGTTGATTGTGATAGCGGTTGTGATATCGATAGTGAGATCGATAGTGAGACCGAATGTGATATCGATTGTGAGATCGATTGTGAGATCGATTGTGAGATCAATTGTGAAATAGATCGAGTGAGATCGATTGTGAGATCGATCGAGGGAGATCGATCGAGCGAGACCGATACTGAGAACGATAGTGAGATCGCTAGTGAGACCGATCGAGTGAGACGTTGGTTCCTCCCACCCCCCGAACCTCCTTATCACCCGAAGGGTGGTCGTATAGGTAGAGTATAAGAAGACACTCCAAGATAGTCGAACTATATAGACTAAAACATGTTCCCACGACTATGTTTTGACCATTTTTGGAGATCCCCCCTGCAGAGGGACAGGCCCGACTGAAGCCTGCAGTAAAAACGCAGCCGCAAGAAAGCCTCGCACGAAACCCAGCCCTGAAATTCCGCGAAGTTTCTTGCCCAGGGCATGGGGATCCTATCCAAGGAATCCAATCAGAGAAACCCCTAATATCCCCGCGCGCAACAGTCTTTATTAACGATCGGGAGAGGTCAGCGCGCATCGCTGGAAACATTGAAACCCAGGGCACCCTGACGAAAGCCAGACGGTTTCTTGGTGCGCACACCCACTGTATCACCCAAGCAAAATTGAGCCGAATGAAACGGGATTAGGCTGCTCTGGATTAGGCCGTATCTCAACCGAGAACCTGATTATCAGGGCCGATGCTGAAACGAACCTCACCAGATTTGCAACCTGCACTACCATTCACGATTCACGCGACGGCCAGGGCACGATGGGGTATCTTGCGGCCCCACTCTTTCGAGACATGGGCCCAGAAAATTGGTAAATGAGAAGGTACCGATACCGCTACTCTCCGGACCTCTCCCGGGGTGCGTTCTGACCAGAATTTCGAGGCGAATCCAGCGGTGGCGACGAGGGCCTCCCAGGAGGCCCAACAGGGGGGGAAATGAAGGAAGGGTGGCGGTATGGGTACTTCTTCCTCCTCCGAGACAATCGTCCCCCTCGCTGGAGCCGGCGCTCCCTGGGTCAAATCTCACTTAGCAAAAGTCGCGCCCCGAGAGGGGCGCCGCGCGATTACAGTAGGAGCTCGACCACAAGAAACCTTCCAAGAGAAACCCAACCCTGGAACTAACCAGCCTCGAACTGATCCCTATCCCTTAGACGGGCGAGCAGTAAGCGAGGACAATCTTAGGGATAGGCCCTCAGAAACTGAGGGAATCCTTAAGATCGGCATCGAGGTGAGGTGATGTCAAACATAGGGATGGGGATGTGTTTCAAACTGGTAAGGAACCCCAGGACGTCCACTGCCTCTTGGTGTGCGAACGCCGCGGCCTCCACAGCAAGACCGTCGAGGCCCAGGAATCCTAGGGCACCCTGGAGGCAAGCGCAGCATTTCTTGGCATGGGTTTCCACGGATTTCGGACGAGGCACCGGAAAGCGTAGAACGGGAAACGCAAGCCCTCACCCAGGAGCAGGAAAACCCCAACCCTGGAAAGGTTGCCCGCAGCCCAAACCTGGAAAACCCAGCCCGAGTAGTGGAAAGCATGGCAGGAAGAGGAAGAGGAGGAGGAGGAGGAGCCTCATCCTCCTCCTCCTCCTGTTTCCTCCTCGGCTCCTCCTCGAACTTGGCCGAGTTCTCGGTCAGCCAGCTCTTGAGCAGGGCCAGGGAACGCCCACGGTGAGAGATGGCATTCTTCTCCGCCTCGGGGGCGAGGAAGAAGGGAGGCAGGAGGTCGGTCGACTCCTCCTCCTCCTCCTCCTCTTCTTCCTCCTCCATTCCTCTTCCTTATGAGTAACTTATCCCTGTCGCACCCCGAGTCATTTTTTTTAGGGCGGGCCGGGCGTTTCGCCGGAGACTTCGTCACCACTTATGACTCTGAAACTTCAAAAACGACAACATTTTCACAGATGGAAGGCGGGCCGTTTCAAAGTGTCGCTCTCGCCATAGCGCCGCGTGCATTCGTCTTGAACATTGCAAGACTCTAATGGATTGAGGGCGGGTCGTTTTCAAAATGTGGCTCTCGCCTTAGCGCCGCGTACATTCGCTTAAAACAAATTGGAAGAGCTTCGCGGATTGAAGGCGGTCCTTTTCAAAATGTGGTTCTCGCTTTTGTGCAGCGCACATTCGTTATAACAGAAGTATAAGAGCTTCACGGATTGAGGGCTGCTCGTTTTCAAAATGTGGCTCTCGCCCTAACGCCGCGCACACTCGTTTAAAACATTAGTACAAGAGTATTACGGATTCCAATGATCAACGTACCCAGGATGGCGTTTTCCAAACATTCAGAATTATGCGGGCACAACAACTATATTGACAATCGGTGTTTGAATCCCAGAAATGGCGTTCTGGCACGATTCAGGGTCGCCAGTACGCAACAATCAGGTTGATCCGTGGCGTTGCAATCACGGGAACAATGTTCTGGCATGCTGTAGGATCTTCAAACGGTTGTACTCCAACGAGGCATTCCCCTCAATGGAAATGAACCGCTGTAGGAGCTTATGAAGAGGGAGCTTGGAGGGAGGGTGAATCCCAGCATCTTTGCTGACTCTTGGGTTTACACTTGTCCTCCTCCTCCTCGTCCTCCTCGTCGTCCTCCTCCTCCTCCTCCTCTTCCTTTTCCTCCTCCTCCTCCTCCTCCTCCTCCTCCTCCTCCTCCTCCTCCTCCCCCCACTCTTCCTCCCCCCACTCTTCTTCCACCCCGTCCCCCCCTTTTTTCCCGCCCGTCCTCCCTCCCTCCCCCTAGAGGAGGAGGGAGGAAAGGAGCAGGGCATGGAGGGAGGAACAACAATTTTCAATATTGGTGGAGGCGTCGGGGGTGGGGGGGGCTTGGGAAGCTGGCCTCCGTGCTCGAGAACCTCGGGGACGGGCCGAAACGGATTGGCGCTGCTCAGGTCAGCGCCAACAGCGAAAAAAACGAAGCCAGGACGACGACACATCTGTGTGAGGATGCCTCGAACATCTCTGGGATCCTGCGGCGCTGGAGGATGTCTTGGGCGTGGGCGTCGCGGCCCTCTCGACGCGTTGCGGAACGCTCCGGGAGCATGCCGGAACGCCCCGAACGGATTCATCCTCGTCTGGTCCCGTCCAACCAGGGCAATGTCTCGGAGGAAAGCCCCTCGAGCCGACAGCAGCCTGGTGCTCGCGTCGATGGCGGGCCTCCTGGAAAAACTTCTCGCCGCCCTCGGCCGGATCCTCCGTGAAAAAAAGGGCGACGATGGGCCCCGGAAGGAGGAGGAGGCGGAGGAGGAGGAGGAGGAGAAGTAGAGGAGGAGGAGAAGAGGAGGAGGAGGAGGATAAGGGGGAGGATGAGGGGGAGTTGTGGCCGAAGGGGGTCGAGAAGGGCAATAAACAGGTGGAGGACGATGAACACGAGGAGGGGGAGAAGGAGGAGGAGGAGGAGGAGGAAGAGGAGAGAAGGGAGGAGGAGGAGGAGGAGGAGGAGGAGGAGGAGGAGGAGAAGGAGGAGGAGGAGGAAGAGGAAAAGAGAAGGAGGAGAGAACGGAGGAGGAGGATGAGGTGTTGAGGAGGAGGAGGAGGAGGAGGAGGAGGAGGAGGTGGAGGAGGAGGAGGAGGACGAGGGAGGAGGAAAAACGAGGAGGAGGGAGGAGGATCGGGATCCTCGGAGAGGTCCAAGGACCCCTGTCAGGGGTGACCAGGTCCAGGGGCCGATGGACCGGACTTGGGCCGGGAGGGAAAACTGCCGTTGACTCAACTGGCCCTCCTGCATGCGCCGCGAGCCCAAGCCGGCCACGAAGCGGCTCCCGACCTGACCGGACAAGAGCGGGAAGCGCCGCTTCGTCCACGAAGCTTGTCGGATAACGTCTGGTTGAGCACGCCAAAGAACTCCGCGCCGGCGTGCCGCGCTGGTCTGCCGTGCTGGTCTGCCGCGCTGGCCTTGCCTCCTCCCCATCCTTCTGCTCCTCCTCCTTCCTCTTCCTCCTCCTTCCCCTCTTCGACGTCATCCGCCTCTTTTTCTCCTCCCACTCCTGCTGCTGCTGCTGCTGCTGCCGCACGAGACCCCCCCCACAGACGATTGACCAGGCATCGCGCGGTGGGGAGGGCCCCCCAGGCGCCTTCCCCGCAGAACGTTCGCCAGAACTCGCATCGCGCGCGGCGAGCGGGATTAGTGGTTGCTTTTCCGAGCTCGAGCTTAGTGGTTGCCTGTGGTTGCTTGGGCTACTCTGGTGCGAGCGTGGGTGTATGTACGCGTGCCTGTGTATGTGCCTGTGTGAGCGGCTGTGTGCGTGTGTGCAGGAGACCTTAAGTAGGGGAAGACGGGGGGAAGGTCAGAGGCACGGGCACCTCTTCCTCACCGCACCGACCTTGCAGACGTGCTGCAGCCGATGTTTGCGAGGATCTCTGTCGACCCAAAACCCCGAAACCGCCCGAGCGAAAAACGAAGTGCATTTCACGTGGACTCTGCTATATTCTTCCATCCCGGCCAGGGAAACTCCGCACGAAATCCACCCCGAAATCCGGGACGAACTTCTCCAGGACACTCCGGGCCCATCCTAATTGTTTTCCGCACGAAGTCCGCTCTGCCGCCATGACCCTTCCTCCACTGGGCTTCTGGGAGGCATCCCCTCGGGAGACTCTCCATGGGGGGGGATCCCATGGGGGGGCAGGAGGGGATCCCCCCCATGGGATCCCCTCCTGCCCCCCCCCATGGGATCCCCAGGGGATCCTATGGGACCCCCCCCCCTGGGATCCTATCCCCCCATGGGATCCCCCCCCATGAAGAGTCTCCCGAATCCCCCCCCTTCCCCCCGGACACCCCTGTGCGCGTGGCCGAGCGAAGGACACGGGTCCTCTAAGACACGGGTCCTGGACACTGGGGCCTCCTGCTGCATCTTCGGGGGGGGCCCTGCCCGTCCCCACTCCTCGGCCCCGTCCGCGTCGACCGGACTCGTCGGATCCGTGTCGAGTCCGTGTCGACTCCGCGTCGCATCCACGCCAAATCCGCGTCGAGTCCGCACCGAGCCCGCGCCGGGCGCAAGAGAAGACACCAATCTGGGGGACAGGCGAGGCCCCCCGCAGATGCCACGTAACCGCTTCCCCCGTGGCGAAATGCGAGGGCTGGCCTCCACGGTCTGCGACATGGACACGGCGGGTCTTGCGGGAAACGGGTCCTGGTTCCGGGGCCGTTCCCCACCAGTTTACCGTCCCGGGCTGCTTCCAGACGGTCCTGGGGCCCGCGGAGGGCCCAATGCGGCCAGAAGCAGCGAGAAGACCTCAGGAACCGTTCGCTTCAGGACCCGTTCCCAGACGCCCGCCGACGTGTCCTTCGAAACCCGCGGCCGCAGAGGTCCCGACCGCTCCCCTTGGGGCATACCTTTGTGCCAGGTCCTTGGGCGCGAATTCACGGGGGACAGGGGCACGTTCTTCTCATCGTACTTGAGGACCACATCCCAGAAAGAGTTCGAGCACCCAGACAAGTATCGAAACAGTGACGAACGAGTATCGCCTGCCAGGGCCCAGCACGTGAAAACCCTCAAGTTTCGGGACTTTTTGGGTGCACGGAATTATTTCTGGTGATCGGGGCTAAAGTAGGCTGGAACATCAGAAGGATAGGGGGGGGAAGGAAGATGCCCTCTTCGGGCCCTAAAAGCCACCTCGGGGGCCCCTGAAGGTTCCGTTGAGGGGCCCGAAAGGGCCCCCCCTTTGCTGCAGTCCTCGATGCCCCCCCCCGTTTTGTCGCCCCCCCACTACGCGGCCTCCAAGGTCAATTTTTGTCATGGGGCCCGACAACGGGCTCGGGCGGCAGAAATCGAAGGAAAACACTCATATTAAAAGCACACAAACTACAAACTCGTCGTCGCAGAATGTGCATCGAATTGGCCGCATCGGCAAGGAGCCTGAATCGAATCGGACCAGCCGCGCCATGAGGCATAACAGCCCCACGCAAGCACCTGGCCGCATCGCACCGCCTAAACATTAGAGTTGGGTCGGATCGGGCCCGCTGGAATCGATATCCGCCGACCCTGTCGGCGCGGCGTGTGTGAGGGGCTTCCCCGTTCGAGTCGGGCTTCTCCGTTCGAGTCGTCGTCTCCGTCGTCCTCCGTTCCATTTCTCTGGGCCCACCTCCTCAAGCGGCCCGAAGGAATCCCCAAGAGTTCTCCACAAGACCCCCAAGAGTCCGCCGGCGCCCCAAGAGTCTCCAACAGGATGCCCTGACGGGGGAACCGAATGGGCAGTTCGAGCCCTCGGCCCCGAGAGGATCCGAGGAGGCCCCAAGATGCCCCAAAAGGCCCCGAGAAAGCCGGGCTCCCAAGAGGCTGCCAAGAGGCCCCCGAGATGCTCCAAGAGGCCCCAAAACTTCCCCCCCAAAGCCGCCGAGAGCGCTCCGATGAGACCCCTGACAGCATCCCTGAGAACTCTGACCCATGTCAGCGTCGTCGGCGCCGACGCCTTCGCCTTCGCCTTCGCCTTCGCCTTCGCCTTCGCCTTCGCCGCCGCCGCCGCCGCCGCCGCCGCCGTCGTCGTCGTCGTCGTCGTCGTCGTCGTCGTCGTCGTCGTCGTCGTCGTCGTCGTCGTCGTCGTCGTCGTCGTCTCGTCGTCGTCGTCGTCGTCGTCGTCGTCGTCGTCGTCCCCCCTTCAATGTCGGCGGCACTGGCCGTAAGGCCTTCGCAATCGAATCAGATCAAACGAACCCTGCGAGGTTCGATGCTGGAATTCGGCCCATCGGCGGGCACCTCCTGCGGCACACGCCCATAGGCCAGGGCGCCCTCTCGAGAAACGCGCCCGGACCCTGCGGCGACCGAGGACCCCCAGAGCTGCGACGCCCACCTGGAATCTCCGAGAAGACGACGACGCCAACTACGACGCCGCCGCCGCCGCCGTCGCCGCGACCGCCGCCGCCGCCGCCGCCGCCGCCGCCGCCGCCGCCGCCGCCGCCGCCGTCGTCGTCGTCGTCGTCGTCGTCGTCGTCGTCGTCGTCGTCGTCGTCGTCGTCGTCGTCGTCGTCGTCGTCCGTAGCCATTTTGGCTCAGGCGAGCCGGCGAACGGGAGGCCCGAGCGGCCCGCGCGCCCCCAGCGGTGGGCGGCTGCCAGCGCACGCACGCCTGCGCGGCGGCCTCGGCGGCGGGCTCGCGGCGAGCGCGGCCTGAGCCGCTCCGCGGCGCTGGCGGCACGCACGGAGGCGATGCGCAGGGCGCTGGCAGTCGCCATGGGCGAGGCGCTCAGCGCGGCGAGGCTCCTCAGGCTCCCCACGTAAATGGCTCCTCCTCCTCCTCCTCCTCCTGCTCTCACACCTTCTCCTCCTCCTCCTGCTCTCCCACCTCCTCCTCCTCCTCTCCTCCTCCTCCTCCTCCTCCTCCCTCTCCCTCCTCCCTCCTCCTCCTCCTCTCCCTCCCCTCCTCCTCCTCCCTCCCTCCTCTCTCTCCCTCCTCCTCCTCCTCCTCGCCCTCCTCCTCCTCTCCTCCCTCTCTCTCTCCCTCCTCCTACTCCTCCTCTCCTCCTCCTCTCCTCCTCCTCCTCCTCTCCTCCTCCTCCTCCTCCTCCTGCTCCTCCTCCTCTCCTCCTCCTCCCCTCCTCCTACTCCTCCCTCCTCCTCCGCCTCCTCCTCCTCCTCCTCCTCCTCCTCCTTCCTCCTCTCTCCTCCTCTCCTCCTCCCTCCTCCTCCTCTCCTCTCCTCCCTCCTCCTCCTCCTCCTCCTCCTCCTCCTTCTGCTCTCTCGTCTCTCTCTCCCTCCTCCTCCTCCTCCTCCTCCTCCTCCTCCTCCTCCTCCTGCCCCTCCTCCTCCTCACGCAGGGGCGGAGGCCACTTCCGCGGCGGGACGCCGAGCTCTGCGGGCACGAGGATCGAGGATCGCGTCGGCCCTCCCGCGAGGATCGAGGAGCTCGAGGGCCTTCGAGGGCCTCGCGATCGGCGCGCGCGAGGCGGCCGAGGGGCGCTCTGCGGGCACGGCAAATGGGGGCGGCACGCGCCCCCCCATGAAGTCGCCGCCTCCCCAACCAGTCCAGGAGCCCGCGGTCAAAGGGGAGGCGCTGGAGAACTTCCGGGGCCGGCTCTACGGCGCGCGGCCGCAGGAGGAGGAGGAGCTCCTGCTCGCCCTCGGCGTCTGCGGCATCGCTGACGCGCCGATGGCCGACGAGGGCGAGGAGATGGACAGCATCGACCTGGAGGGCGGGCACGAGGTACGCGCCGGGCGACAGCTTCGAGGAGCAGGGCGTGGAGGAGATCCAGAAGACCATGGAGAAGATGGCGGAGGAGGACATGTGGATCGAGGATGACGACGAGCTGCGGGCGACCGTGTCCGAAGGCGAGTCGTAGGACGCCTGCGAGCCCGACGGCGACGGCAGCGGCGAGCTCGGCGCGGGCTCCTCGTACGAGCTGGACGCCAAGTCGGAGGGCGAGCTCAAGAGCGACTTCGACGAGGCATCGGACGAGCGTGGACGCATGGAGGGGATCGGCGCGAGCCGCTTCGCAGGGGTACCGGTGGAGAAGGTGCCCAAGGCTGCGAGGAGGAACGCGGGCTTGCACGAGGATGCGCGCCCGCAGCATCGAGAGTGCAGGTGTTCGTCGAGCGGCCAGGTCGTCACCAAGAGAGAGGAGACCTACAGTCTGGCTGCTGAAAGAAGAAACGATACACAAGGAACGAAGCCCCTTTTTGGCCCCACAAGCGCCTGCGTGCACGAGGAAGGCTAGAGCAAAAGCCACAGGAAGACCCAAGGAATGTCGAGCTCCTGTCTTACCCAGACTGCTTCTTCTCTCAGCGGCGTGGCTGTACGAGGAGCTCCGCGCGCAACCGACGTGCGGAGGCTCCGGCCGCCGCAGGGGCAAGGGCAAGGGCAAGGGCGACGAGCTCGCGGGGAGCCAGCGCTTGCGCGGCAGGGCGGCCAAGGGAGGCTGAGGACTGGCTTGCTCCGCCATAAACAGCCTCGAACGTATCCCTATCCCTAAGATGGGCGAGCAAAAAGCGAGGACAATCTTAGGGATAGGCCCTCAGAAACTGAGGGAACCCTTAAGATCGGCATCGAGGTGAGGTGATGTCAAACATAAGGATAGGGATATGTTGCAAACTGGTAACGCCAGTGCCGTGATCTGGAAGGGGAAAGACGACAGAAACAGAAACTGTCGGCGCTCTGCGCGGAGTTCTTGGACCTGCGCTGCACCCCCCTCCCTGGCGCGCGGGGCGCGCCCGGAGCGGCGCCAGAGGCGCCGCCAGGAGGGGCCCAGCGCGGATCCAAGAAACCCGCGCAGAGCGCCAAAAGTTTATGTGCACGCCGTTTTGCTTCGTCGAAGGAGAGCGCGCTCCAACTCGCAGAGTAACTACTCGCAGATGGCCTGGGTCCGCCGCGGGGGATCTACAATACATTACAGCAAAGCAGACATGTGTTTTTCTGACGTTTTCGAGTAGGCAGCACCTTGCGAGTAATTAGTGGAACGCGCTCGGCGAGGCTGGCTTGCCCCGCCAGCGCCGTGTCCTGCGAGGTCTCGATGGCTCAGCGATGGAACGGGCGACGTCCCCACGGCAGAACTCAGGGGACGTCCTGGGGTCTCAAAGCTGGGCTTCTCGTGGAAGGCTTCTTGTGGTCGGGCCTCCACTGTAATGGGAAGGTCCTCGTGAGGTGAGGGCCTTACGTGCTGGGCTTCTGTGCCGGGCGCGGGGCCCGCGGGGCGGGCCTGCCCGCGGGGCGGCGTGCGCGCCCTGGGGCCTCGCCTCCGCGACCGGCCGCGCGGCCCGCCGGGGAGCGAGCGAGCCTCGCGCCCGCCTCGACACACGTCGTCGTCGCCGCTGTCCTCGGCGTCGTCGTCATCGGCGCCGTCGTCGTCGTCGGCGTCGTGGTCGTGGTCGTGGCCGTGATCGTGGTCGTGGTCGTAGTCGTCGTCGTAGTCGTCGTCGTCGTCGTCGTCGTCGTCGTCGTGGTCGTCGTCGTCGCCGCCGTCGCCACCGTCCTCGTCGTCGTCGTCGTCGCCGTCGCCGAGGTCGCCGTCGCCGAGGTCGTCGTCCTCGTCATCGACGTCGCCGTCGTCGTCGACGTCGTCGTCGTCGACGTCGGCGTCGCCGTCGCCGTCAGACCAGCCCCGGCCTTCGAGCCGCCTTCCCTCCCCTCGATCGCGGCAAGGCCAGGGGCGGGGCGACCCCCCCCCAGAGGCCGCCTTGGGCATCTCGGCGTAGGTGCGCCCTCGCCCCGGGGGCCGAGGGGGGACGGACACGGCCCAGGCCCCCTCGAGTCAGGGACAAAAAAATCACGACGCCGATGTGTTGTCCCATCTTTTTGCGGCGCGAAGAGGGGGGTAGGAGGAGGGGGGCAGGCTGCTTAGAAGCACCCCTGCTTCTTGGAAGGCCCCGGCCTTACGTCTATGAGAGAGGGCCGGCGCCTTCTGAGAAGCAGGGGCGCTCCCAAGAAGCCTTCCCCCCTCCTCCTACCCCCCTCAACGCATGGCCGAATATTTGGCCTCGGGGAGGCCCCTCCCGTGCCGCGGGGCCTTCAAGAAACGCCTCGGGATGAAAACCCCGGTCCCGGGGAATGGGTCGAGCCCCTGGGGGTCGACGAAAATTTAGAAAGATCATGACGTCGGGGGTCTGGGGGCGCGGCTGAACCGACGAAAATGCTTGAAAACCTGGACCCTCGAACTTCTCGAGGCTCCAAGTGTTCAAACACTTTCGTCGGTTCCCACCAGTTCTCCAAGCGTCCCAGGGGTGCCCGGATCGTCCCGAACGAGCGCCAGGGAGCCGAGTGATAACCCGGAAGGCAGGGGGCAACGACAGCAAGGGAAACAGGGAGGTCGGGAGAGGAGGGGGAAGGGAAGGGGGGGGGGACGATCGGGAGTGGAGGGATTGGATGAAGGGGCCCTGGGGCACACAAATAAATACACGCAAATAACAGGATTCCCCCATATTTTCGGATATTTCCGTGGTTTTTGCCTTCCCCTCACTTCCATGTTTTCCCATGTTCTCCTGGGAATCGACGATTCATTGTGTCGGTGTGCTTTTTTTTCCCTCCTGATTGGAGTGGGCCTCATGTCGAGGGTGGTGTACGACGGCGGCCACACGAGGACTGGGCGGGTCCCATCGGGCGTGCGACCTTCACTGGCGTTGGCCCAGTTGGCAAGTTCGTCGTCGGAGGCTGGACCGAAGCATTATTCAGGAAGGAGAGGAAGAAACACACAGACACAATGAATCTTCGACTCCCGAGAAAATATGGGAAAATATGGGAAGCGGGGGGGAAGACAGAAACCCAGAAAATATGGGAAAAAATAGGGAATACTTTTATTTGTGTGTATGTATTTTTGTGTCCTGGGGCCACTTCACATTAGGAAGGAGGGGGATGAGGAGGAGGAAAGCAAGGCGGAGCTTGGTCGCGCCCTCCTGGAGCCCCCCAGCGCCAGCCTCCTGGGTTCGAGTAGGGGATCGACTACGGAAGGGACTGACCCCGGAATCGGAACTGCCGTCGGAGCTGGAACAGAGGCGCGGATCTCTCTCGAACATGTGCCGAACACTGTGCTTCTGTCCTCGCAGACTCGACGAACAGATCAGCCATGGAGCAAGCCAACTCTGCAAGCGACCCCCTGCTCGCTGGGTCCGCCTGGGCTTCCTGGGCACTCCTGGAGCCTCCCGCGCCCGCTCCCGGGAGCTCGTGACCTGGCGGGCTGTCCGAGCTGCGTCCCGCCGCGGCGGCGAGGCAGGAGAGCCCAGCACCGCAGCAGCAGGCCAGCGGGCCCCCGCCGAGAGGCCAGAGTCCAGAGGCCGGGAGCCCGAGGCCGCATCGAATCGGCGCCGGGAAAGCCACCGACATCGAGCCGGATCGGGGCGGCGGAGCGGGCCCTGCGAGCGTCTCCAGCACCGAGGCAGGAGATGCGAGACTGCTCTCCCGAATCGGGGTGGACAAGCCTCCCTTGAGCAAACGACCCCTTCTAGTGAAAACGGCCTGGGACCGAAACCGATGGACCTGGACCCGCAAAAACGACGGCCGCGACGCCCTCTGGCGAACCGAAAACGGCCAATTCACTGATCGACGTGTCAGGGTAGGAGGTCTGTCCACCCCCGACTTTCCTGAAGCTCGTCCTCGCAAGGCTTTCCGAGCGGCGTCTTCAGGCCGTGGCGGCGGGAGCCTCCGGAAGGGGGCTTCCGAGGAGAGGCGGCCGGAGCGACTGCGGAACCCAACAGGGGACGCGGCGAGCCCCATAGGCGGGGCCCCAGGATCTCCTCCTCCCTCCTCCTCCTCCTCCTCCTCCTTCTCCTCGGCCTCCCTCCTCCTCGTCCTCCTCCTCCTCCTCCTCCTCCTCCCTCCTCCTCCTCCTCCTCCTCCTCCTCCTCCTCCTCCTCCTCCTCCTCCTCCTCCTGCACCTGCTCCCTCCTCCTCCACCTCCTCCACCTCCTCCCTCCTCCTCCACCTCCTCCTCATCTTCCACGGCATCCGTCTCCGCCCATTTCGTCGCCCCGAGATGTTCTGGCAGTTTCTGGATTCTCGTCTTCCCCCCACACTCACTTCCCATATCTTCCCAGATTCTCCTCGGGATCGGCTATTGATTGTGTCCGTGTGGTTCCCTTCCTCCGGACCCTGTCCCAAGCTTCGTGGGGCCCAGCCCCGGGACTTGCCACCGATCGGACGCCCACTCCCTGTGCATGTTTCGGTCTCGTGCGCGCCCTTTTCGTTACCAGGTGGTCCAGGGTGCTCCTCGATGGCTCCCGCCGAAAACACGCACACGTCCGAGCGATGTCAAGGGGATAGTTATGCGATGGGGGAGGTGTCCATACCCGATGGGGGTGCGTCCGCGTAGCCTCCGGGGGGCGAATCCCGGCGAATCCCCCTCTCGCCATCGCTCGGACGTCCCTTCCCTACGCTTTTGTTCGGTCTCGGTGCGTGGCTTTCTCGCCACATGATCCACGATGCTCCCCGGTGGTCCTCGCCGAAGGAGAAACGCACACGTCCGAGCGATGCCAAGCCATGCGAACCCTACCCCTACCCCCCACGATGTCTGAGGGGGAGAGTGGGTTTCACTTCGTTCGGGATTTCGTTCGGGAGCTCCCGAGCGGAGTGAGCCCCACCCTCCCCCTCAGAAATCGTGGGGGGTAGGATGAATGGGGCCCTGGGACACGCAAATAAATACACACAAATTAAAGGATTCCCCAGATTGTCCCACATTTCCCGTGGCCGGGGGTCTCGTGCGTAGCTTTTTCGCCACACGATCCACGATGCTCCCCGATGGTCCTCGACGAAGGAGAAACGCACACGCCCGAGCGATGCCAAGCCCTTGTTTCGGACGTTGGCAAGACTGGGTTTAGTGGGACCTGGTTTAGTGATGTGTACTGGGGGGCGCCACCCCCGTCCCACTTCCACTAACCGGAGCTGCCGTCACCCGAAAAAACACCAGCTACGGCAGACCTGGTTTAGTGAATCTGGCCACTTCGAGGGGCCCCAGGGCCCTACCACTAACCGGGTCCCCTTACCCGGGGTCCTGGCCATACCCGATTGCTTCTGAGCGGCCAAACTTCGGGAGCGGCAAAGAGAGGGGTGTCCAAGAGGGGGGGTGCAAATCATGACCGGCGGCATGTGCGCGGCCCAGCGGGGGGGGCCAGGGAACGTATTGAAACAAGAAAGGGGGCCCCCTGAAATCCGGGGAGATATCATGGCCCCCGCCATAATATCCCCCCCCCCTAGTCATCACCCCCTCTTGGCCGCCCCCAATTCTGAGGAGGAGGAGGAGGAGGAGGAGGAGTCGCCCCCTAGTCATCACCCCCCCCTCGTGGCCGCCCCCGACAACTCTTCGGGCGGAACCCGTGGCCGGGGGGAGACAAAAAAAGTCGCCCGCGACCGCCGGGATCCGCCTCCCGAGCTCTGCGTGTGCAGCCCGCCGCGACGGACGGCGGCGGCGGCGGCGGCGCGCGGCAGCGCGCGGAGGGAGGGATGGGGGGGAGGAGGACGAGGACGAGGAGGGGGAGGAGGCGAGGAGGACGAGGACGAGGACGAGGAGGGGGAGGACGAGGACGAGGGGGGAAGGAGGAGGACGAGGACGAGGAGGACGAGGACGAGGAGGAGGGAGGACGAGGGGGAGAAGGACGAGGACGAGGACGAGGACGAGGGGGGAGGAGGACGAGGACGAGGAGGGGGAGGCGACGAGGGTCGATTCTAGCACGAAGTCGGGCGTGTGCCCTCTACAGGAGGAATATATCCAAACGTAGCAAACAAAGAGTCCCGGGACAGAGTTCTGAACGTATTTGAGTACCTCTTTGAACACTATTTGCTGGACTACGTTCTCATGTCACGTCCATGACCCGCCTGTAGGGGGACTCCGAGGGCGCTCGTGTGGGCAGTCGCGCGCGCCGAGGCCTGCGGCCTCGCGCGCTCCAGGGCGGGCCGAGACGGCGGCACCTCGAGAAGCGGTCCTCCTCCTCCTCCTCCTCCTCCTCCTCCTCCTCCTCCTCCTCCTCCTCCTCCCTCCTCCTCCTCTCCTCCTCCTCCCTCCTCCCCCCTCCCCCTCCCCTTCCCCTCCCCCTCGCCCTCGCCCTCCCCCTCCCCCTCCTCCTCCTCCTCCTCTCCTCCTCCTCCTCCTCCTCCTCCTCCTCCTCGTCCTCCTCCTCCTCCTCCTGATGGCGGACCTCGCCGCGTCAGATCGGGCATGCCCCCCCACAGGCGGACCCTGGCCGAAGAATTGAAAAATAGGCTACACATCTTCAAACCACAAGAGCCGGTCCCTGGACCTCGCTGCGTTCGATCGGGCAGGCCCGTCCCCCCACAGGCGGACCTCTGGACGAAGAGTCACAAAAAATGGGCCACACGTCTTCGAAAGCGGTACAACAAAAAACAACCAGCAGAACAAAAATCGTCTCCCCTACCACTTGCCGTCGCTCGGACGTCCATTTCCTCTGCATTTTTCGGTTTCGTGCGTGTTTTTTTGCTCGATGGTCCAGGATAGTCCTCGATGCTTCTCGCCGAGAAAACGTGCACACGTCCGAGCGATGCCAAGACCACGTCCTGGCTAGTCGTGGATTGTCCCTCCTGCAGAGGGGGCGCGCCCGCCCTTCGCCGCCGCCGGGGCCCCGCCGCGCACGCCCTCCGCGCTGGCGCGCGCGGCCGCGGCGGCGCAAAGGGGGGCCCCCCGAAGGCCGGAGGCCGCCGCCCGACTCTGCGCCCTCCGACCTCGCAGGGGGGCAGCAAAAAAAACCCTCCGTCGACGGATTTGTTGCCGGAGCGCAGTTTCGCAGATCGCAGCCCCCCAGGGACGGCGAGGTCCCGCTCAGGCCCGCGCGGCGCCTTACTCCGCAGGACCCACCAGCAGCCCCCGAAAGTGGCGACGGTTTCGCAGATCGCAGGCCCCCAGGGACGGCAAGGTCCCGCTCACTCCGCAGGACCCACCAGCAGCCCCAGAGCGTGGCGACAGTTTCGCAGATCGCAACCCTCCGCGCAGACTTCTGGGATCTGCGCTAGGCCCCCCTCCCAAAGAAACAAACTCGATTTACCGGCCTCGAACTTATCCCTATCCCTACGATCGACACGCCAAAAGACGATGGCAATCTTAGGGATTCGCCCTCAAAAAATTACCCTGTGACGTACCCAACCCATTTGTATCAATGGAAACGAGGAGTTGGCCGAAACTTGTATGGACAATCAACTTGATGTGTAAGTTACTTGGGAGGCGTCACTGTGCTGGGACCCGCAAGCAGGCCTCGAAAGTGGCGACAGCTTCACAGATCGCAGCCCCCCAGGGATGGCGAGGTCTAATTTGAATCTGCGTGTGGCGTCCCTGTGCTGGGCCCCCCAGCAGCCCTCGAAAGTGGCGACAGTTTCACAGATTGCAGCCCCCCAGAGATGGCGAGGTCCCATTTGAGTCCGCCGTGGGTACCCACTGTGCTGGGCCCCCCAGCAGCCCTCGAAAGTGGCGACAGCTTCACAGATCGCAGCCCCCCAGGGATGGCGAGGTCCCATTTGAGTCCGCCGTGGGTACCCACTGTGCTGGGCCCCCCAGCAGGCCTCGAAAGTGGCGACAGTTTCACAGATCGCAGCCCCCCAGGGATGGCGAGGTCCCATTTGAGTCCGCCGTGTGTACCCACTGTGCTGGGCCCCCCAGCAGCCCTCGAAAGTGGCGACAGTTTCACAGATCGCAGCCCCCCAGCTGGCACGCAGCGACGAGCGAGGCAAAAGGCAAGGGGGAAGAGAGGGGCGGGAAGGAGGCAAGGCGACGTGCGAGCAGTGCTCTATTCAAAACGAGAACCCAACGCAGGAGGGTTGGGAATAAGGGAATCCCTAAGATTGGCATCGTGATGACGAGATGCCCAGCATAGGGATAGGGATATGTTCCAGGCTGGTAATCTATACGCCGACGCTGTCTCTGGCCGACGCTGTCTCCGGCCCTGCACCGACACTCGCACAGGAGAACGGATCCTGGTGTACACACGGGATCCTGGTGTGTAGATTTTTCGTTGTCTCCCCTGGAAAACAGGGAACCAGGTATACACCACACCACCCCGACGTCGTTCCCGACCCTCGAAAAATCCCAGGACTGAAAAACAGCCCGCCTCTTGTAATGTATATGCTCCAGTTTCCGACCTCTCTGGCGCCTGGCGCGAGGACCGCGCCAGGGGCGGCACCAGAGGGGCGCCGCCCGGAGGCCCAGGCACCGATCCAAGAGCTTCTCGTGAACCTCCGAGAGCGTGTGTTGCTGCAGGTTATTCTTCGTCGGCCATGCGACCGTGTGGCTAGCGAACACGATCTCCGAATTGGGCGAAGACAGTCAGCCCGTATAACAAGGACGCGCGATAAGGATGCAAGAGCCATGGAAGGCCATGCCGACAACTGGCGAGGCGCGTTCTGACCAGGATTTCGAGGCGAATCTGGCCGTGGCGGCGAGGGCCTCTCAAGATGTCTCAAATTGCGAACTCGACGGAAGCGCAGCTGCCGCAGTACCTTTCTTGACGCTGCTAGAAATACTCCTCTGGCACAAGGTGCCCCCCGGATTCCCGAGGAAGCCCCCACGGCCTCCAGAGCACCCCTCACGAGGCCCAGAGGCCCCAGGGGCTGCAACAATGGAGCCAAAAGCTGGGGGCACCCAGGGCCAAGGGCACCTGCCCAAACCCCAGACGTCATGAGCTTCTCGCACCGGCCCCCAGAATGGTCTCGGGCCCTTCCCCGGGACCGGTCTTTCATCCCGAGCCGTCTTTTGACGGTCCCGCGGCCCGGTAAGGGCCCCCAGAGGCCGCCGACAAACCTCCCGCCGCGAATGGTTCCACAACGCAAGGGCGAGACTAAGTAGCCACAAACCTCCCGCCGTAATGTTTCCACAACGCGAGGGCGCACCTTCGTAGCGAGAACCGGGGATGGACAGAACCCCCTGTAGTAAAACGTGGTTTAGGGAAAGCGACCTCGGGCCCACACCTGGCAGATGCAAGCCTGGAAAATGGCGGCCGCGGCGCCCTCCCGAGAACCGAACACGGACAATTCACTAATCGACGTGCCAAGGTACGAGGTCTATCCACCTCCGACACCTCCCATATTTCCCCATATTTTCTGGGGGCTCAACGATTAATTGGGTATGTCACCTGTGTGTGTGTGTGAGTGTGTTTTTTCCCCTCCTGAACTTCACCCAGACCCCCGACGTCGTGACTTGTTCACAACGTCGACCCCCAGAGGTCTGGACCCCTTCCCCGGGACCGGTTTCTCATCCTGAATCCAAAGGGGCCCTGGGACGCACAAAGAAGTACACACAAATAACAGGATTCCCAAATCACGGCGGGAGGGTTTCTCGGGGTCTGTCCAGCCCCGAGAAACCCTCCCGCCGTGATTTCTGTCGCAGCGCGAGGGCGAAGCCACCTCCGAGGAGCCCCGCAGGGCGCCCGCAGAGGGGGCCCGCGCAGCGCCAGGCGCGGCGCAGAAGCTGCGGCGCAGGGGTGCGGCAGCGGTGGCTGCTCTTCCAGACCACCCCAGCCTGACCCCAAGGCCAGACCTTCGGGTTGGGGGGGAGGGGGTATGGGATCAAGCTAGGTGCGCTCGCGTCATATCTGACGTCCTACCCCTCCCTCCCATCCCTCACCATGGCGCTCATTTTCTCTATCCGCGGACGCGTGTCGTAGCGGACCTGTGGTTCCGCGCGCGCGTGCGTAGTGGGTGGTGGTGCGCGTGCGTGCGTGCGTGCGTGCGTGTGTGCGTGGTTGTCGTGGTGGTGGTGGTGGTGGTGGTGGTGTTGGTGGTAGTGGTGGTGGTGGTGGTGGTGGTGGTGGTGGTGGTGGTGGTGGTGGTGGTGGTGGTGGTGTGGTGGTGGTGGTGGTGGTGGTGGTTGTGGTGGTGGTGGTGGTGGTGCTGGTGGTGGTGCTGGCTGGTGCTGGTGGTGGTGGTGGTGGTGGTGTGGTGGTGGTGGTGGTGGTGGTGGTGGTGCGGCGCGGTGGTGGCGGGCGGATGGGCGCGCGAGAAAGAAGGCCCGCGCTGGGGCGAGAACGCCATCCTGAACGACGGAGGCCAAACACCGATCCGAAAATGAGGCCCACGCTGCAGCGGGAGCACGATTCGGAACGATTCGGGAGCAGAAATGAGGCCAGCGCCTCAGCGAGAGCAGCATTTTGGAAAAAAACGCATGCGAAAACCCGTTTCCCGGAAATCCTGTGTAGAAAAACAGTGCGCGGGGGGGGTCGGATATCTTCGGGACGCCATCAGGGGAAGTGGGAGAGTATTTTCATATTGTGTAATTGTCCACACGTGTCTCCCCATTGTTCCCCGACCCCCCCCCCCTCCCCACTGGAGTTGGGTCGGACCTGTCCCCCTACAGGCGGATTTTGCGCGAAAAATCAAAGAAAATCAAACAATGCTCAAAAATATTCAAACATAGTTTTAAAAAAGTCGTCCCTGGATATGTTTTGACTATTTTTAAATGTTCCCCCTGTAGGAAGACACGCCCGACTTAACACTGGAAATGGAAGGCGAATCGGGGCTTTCGAGCTGGGTCGGGGTGGTCTGGTGGGCGGTGAATCGGGGCCTCCGCCCTCCAGCGGCTCGAACACGGGGTCCCAGCCGAAGTCCGTGGGGCCCCTGGCGGGCACGATCCTGCGGGGAAGCCGCGCCCGCGCCGGCGGCCGCCCCTAGGCGAGGCCAGGACGAGGTTTTACGTCGGTCGGAAGAAGGAGGTAGAAACATGAAGTAGGAAGGCGGATATAGTGGATTGGGTCCAGGTCCCCCCAGAAAAAAAAACAAAACACAGCGAAAGCATGTCGACTCTTGAAGTAGGACGGCGCTTGAAGTAGATTGGGATCTGGAAATCCCAAAATACCGGCTTTCGACGACAGGCTTTTTTTGACATCAACGCCACGCCTCCAAAACCTTGGACTGACCAGGGAAACGAGCCAGCAGCGGAGGGGGATGCTGGCACCTTGACCAAGGCAAACACCTTGGTCACCGCGCAAAGAAAACAGCACGACGAGAGGTCGAGAGGACCACTGCGTCAAAGTGCCCAAGCTCCACGCGCACCTGCCACAACATCTCTACGAGAGGGGGCAGGCGCACTGGGCCACAGGAGGGCACAGAGCTGACAGCGCAAAAACATCCAACTGCAGAGCACTGCAACTGGAAGGCACTCTCGTGCCGACTGCCCTCGGCTATACAAGAGGGACAGCGAACAAGACAGCGCCCCTCCCACGCGCCAGTGGCACCATGCGGTGGGGGGCAAGACGGAGGGGCGTGCAACGAAAACACACACGAAGACGCGCACCCAACGCCTAACAAAAGGATGTCGGGGCCAGGACCAAAGCTCCAGGCCGCAGCAACACCAGACGAACCACAGTCAGGATAAAGATACCCCCGTGCCCAAGACGCAGAGCGCACCCTAGGTGTGCATGCACCTTCCCCCAGGAATGGGGCGCCTGACACGCGTGCACGACGGACGCACGCACAACGATCAGCACAATAACAAGCAAAGGAAAAGATTCGACCACCCACAAAAGGACGACGGGCCCGCAGTCCCTGGTGCAGCCAGCGCCAGGACGACATACGGTCACGCCCCAGATGTGGGGTAAAGCACGGATGCCTGCCAAAAGGGCCAGCCGCATCGGGCCGTGCAAGAAACACAAGACGGCGAACCCTCGCCACTGGGAAAAACTCGACCACCCACACAAGGACAACGAGGTCCGAAGTCCCTGGTGCAAACAGCGCCAGGACGACCTCAGTCTCGCCCCAGATGTGGGGTTAAGCACGGATGCCTGCCGAAAGGGTCAGTCGCATCGGGCCGTGCAAGAAAAGAACGTGGGGCCGCCCTGTGCCACAGAAACTAAATCTGAACTATCCGACTCATCCTGGCGGCGTCTCGCCAGGAAAGAAGAGGTATGTAGTCGTGACTGTAGGGGTCCCTGCCGCGCCTCCTGCGCAGGCACCTCGGAAGTACCTTCTGCAAGGGCGGCAAATGCAGCCTCAGAGTTGAAACACTGTATCAGGCCTTCCGTGTCCACCGTGACGCCAGCAATACGCAACTGATACCTAGGGTGGAGGCCTTTGCACAGATAATCCCAACCCTGCTTGCACGCACGCGAAGGGACCGAAACGCACTGTTTACTGAGTCCTCGATTGTGCCCTCCACACGTGAGGCATTTACACCTAAGACAAATATAAAGAGCACAGAGTTGTCAGAACACGGAAAAGCCACAGTCCGATGGCCTAGCGCGTCCTGGGAATCAGCGTGGACTAGAGAGGACCTAGAGCAGGAACCTGGAGCTGGCTTCGAAAAGGAACGGTTCCCCCTCAAACAGTGAGCGCACCTCCAGATTCCGCCCCACGACCTCCAGTCGTGCCCTGGCACCTCCTTCCTCGGGTTTTGAACCACGGGGAGTCTGCTGACCCCATCAAGGTCCACAGGAGGCCATAAAAGGGAGCACATGCACCGCAACCTTCAAGGCGGCCCTCGCTAAGGCCACAAGGTGGTCGGCCTCCTGCAGGAGAGCGTCACCCGTGGGATGGAGGCGGACCGCAAACTTAGCCCCTGCATCCGCATGGTAGTTGCCGAGACGGCGCCAACGCTCCCCGGCTGAAATCCCAGGAGCATCCACGTCGAGGTGGGCGGCCACCTTGGAGCAGGCTGCTATCCCCGAGACCTGTCCGTGCACCTGAAGAACAGCCCCAGCATACATGCGCTTAGGCGAGAGCTGAATCTGCTTGGCGAGACCCGCAGTCTGGACCACATTACTGCAATCAGAATACACATGGCAATCAGCAGGATGGGTCGCCAGAACATTGGCCCAGGTGAAAGCGCTGAATTCAGCACTCTGAGGGGTCTGAGGGTAGGGGCCCCAAACGGGGGCCCTCAGCTCAGCCACAAGATCTCCCGACTCGTCGACCATTCAGACTGAGGAGCCAGCACGAGAGAGCTCCTTGACAGTATGACGGGCGCACGAGCCATCAACAAAAAGGGAGCCCCACACTCTGTTGCTGACGGGGGCTCCTCCAGGGTCAAGCTCGGGCAACTTATGCCAGACCAGGGTCGGACCATCACCTTGCTCATCAGCAGTCCGAGGGGAGGAGTCGGCGGGGTGCCGAAAGGCGCCAGATATAAAGACAAACAGCTCGTCATCACCTCCAGACGCCTTAGCAGACAAAGCGGCCTCAATCACCTCACTGTCGGTCGCCTCTAGCCGAGCCGTCGCAGCCTCAGGGAGAGGGCACTCCCACAGCCGATGGAAGATGGTGTCGCTGGCCCCGCAGTGGGCCCAACACGGATCGATGTCGTGCCCAAGGGCCCTGGCTCGAGCCCGAGTCAAGATGGCCTCCGTAGAGAAGGCTCTAACCCTGGCCTTCTGAAGGGCCGTGAAACGCTTACTACGAGGCGCGATAGCCTCCTTGACAACGTCATAACAAAGACGGTAAGAGATACCCCTCCTGGCAGCAGCATCTCTCTCCAACATTCTCAGGTAATCCGCGCGGGCGAGAAGATCCCAAGGGGGATGGATTTCCCGAAATCATCGACCAGGGTCATGAAATTAGACATACTCCACCCTAATATGACCAGAGACATCCTCATGGCAGTGATCGGTCCCGCAACCTTCCTCCAGCTACAGCTGGGGTCAGAAAATATGGCGGCCCAGGCAGACTTCAAAGTGGGCAGAGGGACCGCCCAGCTGAATGCGCCTGTCTGTCTGAGCCAGATCTCCTTGCTCCATCTAAGAATGGGAGCGGTGGCCGACCGCCATGTCGGGTCATTGTCCAGCAGGGCGAGGACCGCGAGGGACCTCAGCCGACTGCGCGGGCGCACAACACTAAAAAGGCGTCGGCGCAGCAAGCTAAGGTCGTGATCGCTTATGCCCGTGACTTCGATACCGTACGAGGCCCCCCACCAGGGTCCCAGCAGAGAATACCTTCAAGGACGTAGACCGAGTAAGTACCTTAGCCTGCCGCACTAGGCGCCGCGCCGCTCTGCACGCCTTAGCGAGCCTGGCCTTCATCTTGGCCGATCGTCCAGCAACTCTGACAGCTCGGCCTGCCGAGTAGTCAACTCCGAGGTTGACAGCTGAACCTGTACAACGCTGGCAAAGATGGCTGATACGAGAGAGAACTTGCGAACCCACGCATTTGGAGCTGGACACAATAGCCGTTTTTTCCTGGGCGAAGGAACACCCGAAAACCCCCTGGACGACAGAGTCGAGCGCCTGGGCCCCACGAGCGATCGAGTCAATGACGACTGTCGGGGGACCAGTCGACGACAGCCCTTGATCATCAATGTAAACGTCCAGCGAAGCGGCAGGGGACAGGGGGATGCTATCGTACCCTTCCATACAATAAACTCGGATAAGGGTGGTGGCCATCGAGCAGCCAGCGATGACCCCATTGACACAAAAGTGCGGGCCCTCGAGCCAACCACCCAGGCTCAGAAAACGGCCAACCTTGTAGGCAAAGATGCAAAGGCGGGCAATCACCATGGGAAAATCAAGCCTGCGACAACGGTCCTCTAAACGCAAGAGGTTGATGTTCTCATAGAATTTAGAGAGATCGAAAAAGATGCTGCAACTGGCGAGGCCCTTCGCGACTCCCGCCTCGGCTGACACGGCCTGTCGCCACACCACGTCGGCTGCTCCCCGATGCTGGCCAGCAGCCCAGTACTCGCGGGTGTGGGCCAGCTCCCAGGCCAGGGCCAAGGGACGTCTGCAGCGTCCCCACACCCTGCACCAGGAGCAGAACACCCCATATGGGCCTGTAGCCACCAGTCGGCTTCGGCAACAGCGCCAAGAGGGCCACAGAGATCTGAGGGGGCAAGATGCCTAAAGCCCCCATGAGGCTGAAAAGAGCTCCCAGGCAGTCAAGGCAGGGATCGGGGAGGAGCGAGAAGTGTCTGCAATGGACACGTCCACCGAGGTGGCCGAAGCCGTCCTACAAGACTTGGAGGCGCCCCTTATTTGCTGGGCACCCAACCTGGGGAGGTAATCCAGCCTCTCAAAGGCCGAGTCCGCACCGACCCCAGGGCCCCATAAGGAAGCAAAGCGGCCCCCTTCAGCTTTCAGCAACGAAAGGGGGCCCGAAACCACGTTGCCAGCCGCCGAAAGGGTCGAACTGGCAGCCCACGGGGCGGGGTCCCTAAGGAGGGTGTGAACTCTGTTCGCTCCTGGTTGCACTCCGACATTGAGCCAAGTCTTCCATTCAGAGCGGGCCTCGGCACGGAACTTCGAGTCGGCGGCCTGGACGGCCTCGTGCACCTGCGTGTACACGTCAGCAAAGGAGTAGGGATCGGCCGTGCGCGTCGCAGCCTCCTTCACCAAACTGAACAGCTGTGCATAATCGTCCTTAGCTTCATCGATAGACTGAGGAGGCTGCAACAACAGGGCCTTCAAAATACCAGCCATCGCGGCGCCAGCTCTGAGGGAATGAATGTATGCCTTGAGCTGTTGGCCGAGCCAAACTATCGAGCGATGGGCGGGATATCGCACCTTGCCATCTTTGGCAAGGACAGACTTCCAAACAAGCTGGGGGTCCAAACCGCGGGACCCAAGTTTGACAAGGATAACGCCAACCAACGGAACAAGCTCCTTCTCAGCCAGGCCCGCCCAACGCTGATACAGGGGGCCAAGCAGAGC